GGAGAATGTACAATGTTTAAGGGTTAGCTGAGTTATGTTCAGATATCATGGTATCTTCTGTGCTAAAGTGCTTGTTCACCTTTTGTCCATTTTTCTGTTGGATTGCCTATCTTTTTTTCTGATTGGTTTGTAGGAGTTTATTTCTCATTCTGAATATGAGCCTGTCATATGTTGCTGACTCAGAGGAAATCACAGACCATCAGTTTATTGTTCTGTAAAACTAGGATAGAAATATGGTTGATGTGCACATGAAATTAGATAAAATAAGTTATCCTTGTTAAAAACTACAGAGTGCTACTCAAATATGAATTTATATCATCCAGAGGTCTTTTCTGCAAAGAAGGTTCAGACAGGGTTGGATCTATTGCTGTGTTTCTTTTCTCAGCATCTACCCAAAAGCAAAAGAAGTGATAAGAGTTCTGTGAAATATTGCTGAACAATGTCTTTCTATAACTTCCCAAAGAATCATTGCTGTAGAAATGCAAGACAGCACATTGGACATCATCAGAACAGTTGTACTCTAAACTACATACACAGTTATCTAGAAAGATTGATTTTTCTGATTGGTTTTTAAAAACATGTTCATATAAATCAAAGTGAGCTCTTTACCAAAGTGCTCAGATTAAAAAGAATGAGGAGAGTCAGGTCAGTTGCCTCTGGGGTGCTCTGCCACACTGGCCTTCTGACTCCGTCACGGTGTGATCTGTCTCTTCCTGAGTCCCAGAGGGTGACAGGAGTATGTGTCTTACAGGAGAGCTCTGTGGGCAAGCAGCTGCATGGTGACAGTCACTAGCACTGAGTGACATTTCACAAATTGTATGGCACCGCTTTTCACCCCACCAGCTCTGGGGGTCACTTAGGCAGCTGTTATCATCCCCATTTCCTGGGAGAGAACAGGGAAACCCACAGAAACCAAGTTCCTGCTAAGTGGGGAGCTGAAATTCGAGTCAGAGGGGCTTCTGCCCAAATGGACTCTGCTTCTCCATGCTGTCCCATTCAGCACAGTAATAGCCAGGTGGTGGCCTGAGAACCTGGCACTGCTAAAATCATTTTCTGAGGGCTAAGGTCTGAATTTTTGTCACTGCCCATGTTCATATGATGACATCCTATTCCCAAAGAAGATAGTTTTAGGAGGTGGGGACCTTGGGAGTTGACCAGGTCATGAATGGACTAGTACCCTTATAAAAGAGACCCCAGAGAGCTTTTCACTCCCTCCTCCACACTATGAGAAGGTACAGAAGATGCCATCTTATCAACGAGAAAGCCCTCACCACACACCAGAATTCTTCCATACCAACACCTTGATCCCAGACAGACAGCCTCCAAACTGAGAAATAAATTCCTGCCTTTCAGTGTTTAGAATTTTGCTGTAACAGCCCAAATAGACCAAGATACAGAGCCTGCACTTGCCCATCACTGGCCCAGAATTCCTGGGATCGGTGTGACATCCTGTTTCTTAGGTGACTGTGCTGTTACTTACCCAGAGACCCTTGGGCCAGGGGTGCAAAATAACCACCCCCCCCATAAGAATCCAGTGCAAACACTGTGGCAGTCAGCTTAGGAGGGAAGCGACACGATGTGACTTCCCAAACTGATTGCGAGAGGCCAGAGGGACATGTGCAAACCGCATTTCCTTTCTAGACCTTTCAAACTCAGAGGCTCAGTTTCTTTTCTTCCCTCCAACCCATGCTGAGATGTTCAAATGCCGAAGGCAAATAAAGGCAGGGTCAAAGTTGTGCGAAGGACGCTGACAGGAAGCAGGGTTCAGGGGTAAGAGTCAGGCTTGAGAGTGACTGAGGAAGGACAGCGTCTGGGAAGAGGCATTGGAGAACTTACAAAGGACCTGCTTCTGGAGCAGCTCCGGGGAGGGAGGTGGCTTACCATTAGCCGGATTGCCTTGCAGTCTCCTCTCTACCACGTTCCCTCCAGACACCTTTGAGTTGGGGTGGGAATTTGAACCCCACTTTACAGGGGTCTGAGGTTTATAGACACTGTGCCCTACCTAGGGCCACAGATGAAGAAAGCGTGGATATCACCTGGACGGAACCCTGGCACACAAGGCTGTTGGTGGAAGTCAAGGGCAAGGTGCTAGTGGCAGATGTGAGAGACACCACATTTCCTATTGTTATAAGATCATAGTGTGTGAAAGCACAGGGCCATAGGGTGTAGAAGGGAAGGTTCTAGCCCTTGTCACTGGGAAAAGTGTCTGTCTCCCATCAGCTTCTCTTATGGTCCCTGATTCTTCACTTTGTGGCCCTTGTCACCATTTGTCACTAGAGGTGTATCATTATTATATTGTATAATCCTACTGTCACCCCATCTTGGGTTCCAGGAGCTCAGGAACAGTGTTCAGTTTCCACTGTACGAATCAGGCCAGCATAATGTCTGAGATAGGAAGTGCTCCATACATGTTTGTTGAATGAATGAAAAGTTGGCTGAATCATGACTTGTAGCAAAGCCTTAGGCACTGCACTAGGGACTTTGGTGCTTCTGGCAGTGCAGCTTGGGGAGAAAGAGCTGGTGGTATTTGTGGTTAAAAATCCTTGTATGGTTGGAGGTGAGCAGAGAACAGCGTGTGTGTGTGTGTGTGTGTGTGTTTGTGTTATGCCACATTGCACACAGCAGGTAGGAAGTGGGAAACCGTGTCACTTGGCCAGTGTGGTACAGACTTTGGAAAAGTGGAGGGAGATCCACCTGGAGAATGCCAGCCTCCTGACTGGTTCTGCAAGCTTCCTCTGGGAGCCTGGGTGGAGAGCTCTCTTTCTGGCATCACTGCCCTGCCAGGTGGTGGCTGGCGGCTGCTTCTTGTTGATTACAGTTTGAAGCGCTGTGCATTGGTCCCATGCTGCTACACAGTGCAGAAATCCTGTGTCACTCTAATGAGGTTTCTGTTCGAATGCTGGAAAGAAAGCCTTTTAATTAGATTGGTAGTAATTGAGCTCCCAAACCACAGCAGCCTCTTTCTCAGGAGAGGAAGACACAAATGCAATTAAAGAAGAAAAGGCACCTAAATGGAACCCTTGCTAATTCTAAGTCCATTAAAAACAACAGTTTCTAAATAAGTTGCGGCAACAGATATATGTCCTAAAGAGTTTAGCAGTGCTTCCCAATAACATTGGAGATTGAACCAAAATCAGAGCACATGTGCGATTAAAGTGTATGGCTCTGGTGAGGATTGTTGGCTCAGTTCAGAGCATGGAGAAATGTTAGCTCTACAACCACTTGCCACCAAAAAGAAGTTGGCATGTTTTATTTTGGAAAAGTAGATGTGTTTCTTCCTGTAATCAAATTGCAGCTGCTTTTGGACACAGCTCCTGGTCCAGGACTCTCTGGGGCATCATCCCATGATGTCTGATCCTCTCTGTGACAGATGCCCAGACCTGTCTACCTCATCCTCAGGAGTGTCCATTGGGTAAGCCACTGGACAGAGGTGCATTGATGCACCACAGTGCCACTGCCAACTACTTGTGCATTTGCCATGTATTTAACTTCACAAGGAGCAGATTTTAATTCTCCTTTGCATCCCACCTGCTCACCACACCCTGGCATATACATGTGCGTTGTGCCATTGGGTCAGTTTTTAATGATTACCCATCAGTGATCCAGGCCAAGTACTTCCTGTTATAGCAGCTCAAGTTCTGTCTTGTGGTCAGGTCTTCATGGGGGACATTAATAGGTACTTTACCTGGAGACAGTCCATTGCTAATTCTTAGAGTGCAAAGGACTGAATAACAGCATTCTTAGTAGTCCTACTGTACAAAATTTGTGCATTGGTTTTTTTGCTAGACCCTGCTGGGATCAGCTAATTGGATGATAAAATACTGGTTACATTCTGGTTGGAAAAGCCATGTTTGAATAGACTCTTCTTTAGATGGTGTGTTAGTCAGCTTTCCCTCACTCTCACAAATACCCAAGATGATCAACATGTAAAGAGGAAAGATTTGTTTTGGCTCACAGTTTTGCAGGTTTCAGTCTGTTATTGTTTGGTTCCATTGCTTTGTGCCTGTAGTGAGGTAGCCCATCGTGGCAGGTGCAAGTATTGGAGTGAAGCTGCTCATGTCATAACTAAGTAGCAAAAGAGAGGAAGAGGAAGGGGCTGCAGTCCCACTGTCCTGTCAAGGCTATGCTCCCGCGGACCTAAAGACCTTCCACTAGGCCCCACTGTTTAAAGGCTCTAGCACCTCTCAATGCTGCAAAGCCGAGGTCCAAGCCTTAAGATGTAGTTTGGGCCTTTAGGTCCAGACTATGCAGATGCCCTGTTTGAACAAAGCCACAGTTGATATACTTATCTGGAGTCCCATAGGTGATAAAACATAACATCTTGCTTGATCCCATACTCAGGTGTTTTGGCAATGTAGGAAAATGGGCTCTGGAGTCAGAAAGATCCAAATGTGAGTGGCTCCTTATAAAGTTGCCTCACCTTTCTGATCCTTGCTTCCTGGTTGGGATTTCCCTAGAGGTTGAGAGAAAAGACGGTCCTTACCCTTCAGTGAGAAGGCATCATCACAGCCCTTGCAGTGCCCTTGGCACATGGCGGGCAGCTCAACATGCAGCCATGCTGCCTTTCCTGGGAAAGGAAGTATATAGTATTTATGTTTGTTTAAAGTTCTAGTTTATTCTAGAAACAAACCCGGCTTGTAAAAATTGAAATTTGTGCCCAATTTTTAAAAGTATATAAATTATAAAAAGATAAATAGCTAAGTCCTTAGCAGACATCAATTCTGGATGCTAGGGCTGCCTGATTTTTATTTTCTTCTTTGTACTTTGCCTTCCTTTGTAAGTGCTCTGTAATAAATGGGTATTACTTTGAAATAAATAGAAAAGCTTAACTCTGGGGAAATGTTGCTGGCATGTATTTGGAAGTGCTTGGAGCATTCTAATTTCACACACACACACAATGATCCCAACAGTCTGATTCCTACATGAATAATTGTATCAATCGTTCTTTTGTAACTCACATAAACCATATTTATGCTGCTTTTTTTTTTTTAAAGGACGAGAAAAACCAAGTTTTAACCACCAACATTTGGCTGCAAATGGTAAGTTAAAACAGCGGCAGTGCTTGCCCCGTTCTTGCTTTGGGGTGCGTGTGCTTGATTTTTTCAGAGAAAGCAGAGGTTCCACAAGAAAAGCCAGGTCCATCACCCTTGACTGCACTCCAACCAACCATGAATACTGGGATATTCATGAGTACCAATGTCAAGTGCTAATACACAGAATCCTCCAGGTGGGAATTGAGGATTCAATACTGAATAGCTGCATGACTTGACATATGCTTGTATTGAACTGCTGGGCAATTTGGGGACATTTCAAAACCACTTCATGCAAGACAAATAATAAGATGCAGGACTGCATTTAGAACTCCCTAGGTAGGACTCAGAAACTCCTCCCTGCTCGCTGCACCCTCCACGGCAGCATATTCGAATCAGACTGAGGGTTCCTAAGCCAGAAGTCTTCCTACTCAGCTCCAGTGACTCCTGCAAGAACCTTGAAAGGCTATAGAGTTTGAGCATCTATTTCTAATTTGAAAATCCATAATCCGAAATGCTGTGAAATTCAAAATTATTTGTTTGCTGACCTGACACTCCGAGGTTTCAGATTTCTTAGAGTATTTTGGGTTTGGGATTTTTGAAATTTTTAGGTTAGGGATGCTCAGCTAGCAAAGTTTATATGAATATTCCAAACTCCAGAAAGAAAAAAAAGAACTAGAAAATCCCAAACACTTCTGGTTCCAAGCACTTCCAGTAACAGGTAATCGACTTGTATTGTGTTCTGGATTTTTGACTTGACATCTGAGATTCTAATCTAAACTTAATTAATTCCATCAAATTGTAAATATTGGAATTTAAGCTACTAAGGAGATAGAGAACAGAAAGATCTGAGTTTGAGACCAGTTTGGGCAAAATGTTCATATAACCCCCATCTCAATCAAGGCAGCTATCATACAAGCTATTTAGGGAAGCACAAATAGTAGGATTGTAATCCAGGCTGGCCTGGGAAATAAAATGAGACCATATTTTCAAAACAACCAATGTAGAAAAAGCTGGCAGACTGGCTCAAGTGGTAGTACACTTGCTTTGCAAGTGTGAGGCCCTGAGTTCATACCCCAGTACTGCCAAGAACCAACCAATCAACAACAGTAACACAGAACAACTTACTAGAATCTCTGTTTTAGGTGGGATCCAAAGATCACGGGTATTTTATGTTCATATATATCATTCACTTAAAGCCACATAAGCAAATCATTCTTCAGCTGTCAGATGTATTTTACATTGGTCCTTCTCTTTGTGCCTGGGTTTCTTTCCTTCTTTTCTTTTTTTTTCCTTAAGATGAAGTCTTGCTATGTAGCCCAGGCTGGCCTCCCACTGTCCACCATCCTGCATGTGTCTCCTAAGCATTGGGATTACAGGTGTCATCACCATACCCAGCTTGTACCTCCACTGTATTCCACTTTTCATTTAGGATTTTGTCCTATTGCAAAGTAATTTTATATTTGAAAGTCTTTGATTAATTACTCTACCTTGGTTTTCTCAAGTGTAAATGTTTACATTAAAATTATTCCTTCAGATCATAAGTGTTAAAAATTTTCTTGCTGGTTTAAGATTGCTCTTATTGGGAACATGGTTCACCAAGGTGACGTAGATTACAAATTGTTTTAGAATAATTTACTTATCTATGGGCAACTTTTTTTATTTCTAGAAATGAGAGAACGATACAATTGTCACCCTCAGTTCTACAACTGTCTTATTAATAAATGCAGCAACATGTGGTAATGAAAGACATTTTGTTAAAGCAACACTATTGATTCTTTGACTTTCTTCCAGGTTATGTGCCAAGAATAATGTTAATTTCTTCAAGCATATCAGATGACAACTTGATTAGTTTCTCCTTTATTTTTGTTGAAAGCAAAAAAAAAAAAAAAAACAGGAATGGAATTAAAACCCACTTGGCTGGGTGTGGTAGTCCACACCTGTAATCCCAGTAACTCGGGAGACTGAGGCAGGAGAACCCTGAGTTTGAGGTCAGCCTGGGCTACATAGTGAGACTCTCCCAGAAACAAACCTACGTGACCTTTGAAACTATTTGTCACCCAATTTTTAAGGTAATTCATACACTGAAACTGTGGTTGGACCCTTTGTTTGGTTCTTGGGTCTATGAAATAAGAGTTGAGATGAGGTAATGGAACAGTATCCTTTGTAAAGTGGAGGCAGGAGAAGTAAAAGAGGGATAGGGAGAGGCCAGTTTTCCTAAGAATACATCTGGAGTTGAGAGACAGAAAACTGATTTTCTTTTTAATTTTTTTTATTCATATGTGCATACATTGTTTGGGTCATTTCTCCCCCCTTCCTCCCACCCCCTCCCTTACCTCCCCCCACTCCCTCCCTTACCCCCCCTTACCCTTCGATACCCTACAGAAACTATTCTGGCCTTATCTCTAATTTTGTTGAAGAGAGAGTATAAGCAATAATAGGAAGGACCAAGGGTTTTTGCTAGTTGAGATAAGGATAGCTATACAGGAGTTGATGCACATTAATTTCCTGTGCATGTGTGTTACCTTCTAGGTTAATTCTTTTTGATCTAACCTTTTCTCTCGTTCCTGGTCCCCTTCTCCTGTTGGCCTCAGTTGCTTTAAATATCTGCTTTAGTTCTCTTTGTTGAGAACTAGTCTTTTGGGTGTCTTACCTATCCTCATACCTCCCTTGTGTGCTCTCGCTTTTATCATGTGCTCATAGTCCAATCCCCTTGTTGTATTTGCCCTTGATCTAATGTCCACATATGAGGGAGAACATACGATTTTTGGCCTTTTGGGCCAGGCTAACCTCACTCAGAATGATGTTCTCCAATTCCATCCATTTACCAGCGAATGATAACATTTCGTTCTTCTTCATGGCTGCATAAAATTCCATTGTGTATAGATACCACATTTTCTTAATCCATTCGTCAGTAGTGGAGCATCTTGATTATTTCCATAACTTGGCTATTGTGAATAGTGCCACAATAAACATGGGTGTGCAGGTGCCTCTGGAGTAACCTGTGTCACAGTCTTTTGGGTATATCCCCAAGAGTGGTATTGCTGGATCAAATGGTAGATCGATGTCCAGCTTTTTAAGTAGCCTCCAAATTTTTTTCCAGAGTGGTTGTACTAGTTTACATTCCCACCAACAGTGTAAGAGGGTTCCTTTTTCCCCGCATCCTCACCAACACCTGTTGTTGGTGGTGTTGCTGATGATGGCTATTCTAACAGGGGTGAGGTGGAATCTTAGTGTGGTTTTAATTTGCATTTCATTTATTGCTAGGGATGGTGAGCATTTTTTCATGTGTTTTTTGGCCATTTGAATTTCTTCTTTTGAGAAAGTTCTATTTAATTCACTTGCCCATTTCTTTATTGGTTCATTAGTTTTGGGAGAATTTAGTTTTTTGAGTTCCCTATATATTCTGGTTATCAATCCTTTGTCTGATGTGTAGCTGGCAAATATAGAAAACTGATTTTCTTAAAGCCATCTGCTGAGTGTCCCAGAGGTGCACCCAGCTATGCATAAACCCCTCGTAGAACCTGCTGGTAATGAGTGATATGGAGTATTTGGCAGTTTTTTCCTGCTGGAGTTAAAGCAGTGTGCTTCAAAGAGCACATCCACCCCTCAGGCATGCCCGCTTCTCTGACTTCCCGCCTTTTGCCCAGGATACACCATGGGTGCTACTCTGGAATGCTGGCCCTTCCTCCAGCGAGTACGTCCCATCCCCTGAAGCAGCCTTCAATCCTTGTCCCCACAATCTGTAGCTTTGTGTGTGTGGGTGGTTTTAAGTCTTGCCTCTTTCACAGTCTTCCTTGTCTGGGTAAATGCTATGGTGTTAATCCATAGCACCCTTAGCTCTTGTCTTTCACATCTCATCCATCAGCAAATTCTGGAAGCTCAACTTTCAAACTAGATCCAGGGTCTGACCACTGTGCATCCACCCCTTGCTTCCACCCTGCTTTAACTGCCTCATCTCTGACCTCCTTTATTAGAGGGTCTCCTAGCCAGGCTAGGAAGACTCAGCCCTTGCCTCCCCTGAATGGTGTCTGCTCTCAACACAGCTACCACTGTGATTCTTTATGATGAAATGAAGGTTTAGTACATGCCTCTGATGCTCATATCCCTCCAGATCCTTCAGTCCCACCCTTTACCCTCCAACATAAAAGCTGAAGTCCTTGAAGTCAACCTTCAAGATTTCCTCCCTGCCTGGACCCTCTCCTCTTCCTGCCTGGACCATTCTTTTATCCCCCATTTCTTCCACTCTCTTCTCCCTTGCTCTGCCCCCTGCTCTGTTGATGTTAAAGATACACTCATTATCCAAGAACATGCCTATCCCAAAGCCTTTGTACCTGCTAATTTTCTTGCCTTTAAAACTCCTTTCCAAAGAATCATTTGATTTTCTCCCTCACTTTTGACTGATCTCTTCCTAAACATCACCTTTCCAGAGTTCCCATGTACTATCCTTGCTAGCCCTGCCCCCCACCCCTTTTCTTTTCAATTCTGGGTCTGGAACCCAAACCCAGGACCTCATGATACCAGACAAATGGTCTACCACTGAGCTAATTCCACCCCGACTCTGTTCTCTTTATTCCACTTGTTTTTCTTTCAAAGCACTCCTCACCATCTTATATACTTCCTATTCACTTTTCTGTTTGCTCCTTGCCTCCAAGTCTCTCCCACTACTATGTGTGCAACACAAGGGTAGGACGCCTGTGTGATTCATTCTCTGAGATGGCCCAGGCTGTAACCCACAGTCTCATCCCCAGCAGACACTGAGTAATTTTTATTGAGTGATTGAATGAAACCAAAACTACATGAACCCAGAAAGACTAAGATAGTATGATCTAAAATAAGCCTACTCCTACATAACATTGCAACTCTGTAGTATAGGATAGAACTCCTGGAACTCTAGGGGGTTAGACCAAAGCTTTCCCACGCCCTGTGAGGAACAGAGCTGCTGCTGACATTTTTCTTATGGCATTAAACACATGCTGTAGACAGGTGTCTCTCTCTGGTGCCCATCT